TGGTTCTTCTCTTGCTCTCTTCCCTTGTGATTTGATGACTTTCTTTAGTGTGATGCTTGGATTCTTTTTATTTTTTGTGTATCTATCATAGGTTTTTGGGTTGTGGTTACATTATTATGAGGTTCATATATATAGCAGTCTATTTTAAGTTGCTGGTTCTTTAAGGTCCAATACATTCTAAAAGCCCTCCCAACAATGGGCAGCGTATACAGACTGTGGGCACCCTTTTATTGTGATTGGGCTGCAACTGCCCTGGTTGCACTGGTGGATGAAGGCTGACTCCAGCCTAGCAGCTTAGAGGCCAGGCGGCAGCTGCTGTGGGTGTCTAGTAGGTGGGGTCAGCACCTGGTGTGGCTATCTGCAACGCCTGGCTGCAACTGTCACAGGTGTGCTCATGGGCAGGGCTGACCCCCCAACTCTCCCAAGGAGTCACTTTGGAGGGACAGTGGTCCTCACTGAGACTGCCTATCAGCTGAGGCAGGGGAGGAGTTGCGTTGGAGGAGTGCCTGCCACGACAGGTCAGTCCACAGGGAAATGCCAGGACAGCTGGTAAGCAGTGCCAGCAGTATAAATGGAGAGTGTCGGAACCGGCACCTTCACTGGGCCAGCCAGGCTGAAGGAAGGCAAAAGACACGGTGGCTGCTAGCAGTTCCATTCCTGGAAAAAGTTCCTACACAACCCTGCCCTTCTGGCACAAGCCCTACAATTAGTAAATAAACCCTCATATATGGCCCAGGTGCTTTTGAAACTGCTTCCAATATGCTGGATCTCAGAGTGAGTCAGACTGTCGATGGGCCTTTTAAGAACAGAGTTTTGGTTTCCTATGGCCTTCCACCTTTCCTAGAGTTAAACCCTGCTGATTTTCAAAGCTAGACAAAATGGAGGCTTGTCTTTCCAGTGCAGGGGTGGTGCAGGGAGTGCCCAATGCAGGGCTTGAATCCCTTGCTCCTCAGGAAGGACCTCCACACCTGTTATATGCCTTCTGTTTGTGAGTCACTGGCAAGTCCTTTTCAAACTGTTTGACAAGTTTGTTTCTGTTTGTCGCTGTTTTTTTTCTGGGTCTCAGGGCAAGCAAGACTGCATATGAGCCCTCTGAGAAGGGTATCTCAGTTTCCTACAGAATTTTCTGGATGTCAAACCCATTGGTTTTGCAAGACAAATACTCTCAGGCTTGTCTCTTCAGTACAGATCCCAGGTGCCAGGGTGCCCAATGTGGGGCACCAACTCCTCCCTCCTCTGGGAGAAGCACTGCCTGGTGAAATTCCCTCTCTATTGAAATGTTGCCATTCAGGGGGTGGGGTTTTTTTGTAGGACTGTGTCTCTCTCTGCTTCTCCTACCCATCTTGATGTGGTCCTTATATTCTCTGTTGTGGAGAGCAGTTCCTATAGTTTTCAGATCTTTTGCAGAGGGAAATCATCCATATGTAGCCACAGATTTGGTATGTTTAGGGAAGTGTGTAAGTTCAGGATTTTCCTATGCTGCCATCTTTCCAGAGCCTCCAATTAACAGTATTTTCTAAATGGTGCTTCTATTTTTTTTTTTTTTTAATTTTAAGTAATCTCTACACCCAATGTGGGGCTAGAACTCACAACCCTGAGATCAAGAGTCACATGCCTGGCACACCTGGGTGGCTCAGTCAGTTACAGGTATTAGAATAGTCAAATTCATAAAGTGAGAAAGCAGAATATCCACGGATAGGGGGAGAAGTGGCTGGGGGGTTACTGTTTAATGGGTCCAGAGTTTCAGTCTGAGATGATGAAAAAATTCTAGAGATGAATGTGGTGATGGTCGCACAACACTGTGAATGTAGTTAATGTTAATAACTTAAAAAATGGTTAAAATGGTAAATCTGATACTACGTATACCTTACCACAATTAAAAAAAAAAAAAAGAATACTAGAATATAATGAGGATACCATGCTGGAACAAAACAAAACAAAATCAAAACTGAAGACAGTAGAATGACAGCCTTAAAGTGCTAGAAAGAAGAGTCAACCTAGAATTCTATATCCAGTGAAAATATCCTTCAAAAGTGAAGGCAAAATAAAGACATTTCTAGACAAAAGCTGATAGAACCTATCTCCAGCAGATAAGAACCCCTAGTGAAGGAAGTACTTAAGGCTGTACAAGAATGGTATTAGATAGATTATATAGCCAATTTAAACCCACATACTCAGACTTCAAACCTTGAATCCTTACCACTGTATCTCAGTATCTTTCTTGAGACTGAGGAAGTAAAAAAAAAAAAAGTAAAATGACAAATGGTCCTTCTCTAGCAGTATTGTAATATGGTTTCTGAGGATCATACTTAATTTACGTTAATGGATTTAGGTAGTATACCTGGTCTATACACACATATATATCCCAGAACATACTCACTTTGAAGGCAAACATTCCAAATTGTATTCTTTGTTATTTACCTATATAATTCAAAACTACATTATTGTATTGTATCGTTATTATTTTTTGTTCAGGAACAGGGATTGGGGATGGAAAAAAAATTTTTTTTTCTTTACTTCTGTATTAGTTTTTAGATCATATTCTTTGTAATTTAAATTTATGAAATTTAAAGTTTTAAAATTTAAAGTTCATAAATTAAAAAATTTTTAAGTTTAAAATTATATCCTGCCCCCTTTCAAAAAGAACTTTAAATCTTGCTTCTTAGGAAAACATTTTATTTCTGCTCATTTCACAATTTCTTAAAAGAGGATGGAAAAAAGATATAAAATTAAATGGCAAACTCTATGCCTGCATTCTCTGACAAGATAATTCACAATCATTTTAGACAGCTTTTGCTATTGATCTTGAGTTTTATTTTTTATTTTATTTTATTTTTTTTAAGATTTTATTTATTTATTCATGAGAGACACAGAGAGAGAGAGCAAGAGAGAGGCAGAGGGAGAAGCAGGCTCCCAAGGAGCAGGGAGCCCGATGCGGTACTCGATCCCAGGACTCTGGGATCATGACCTGAGCCGAAGGCAGACGCTCAACCATCTGAGCCACCCAGGCACCCTTATTTTTTATTTTAAAACTTGAGAATAATTATAGTTATCTCATTAGAACTTCTTAAATGGCACAGCAAAGGCACAAACCTAACAATCTTTGAGCACTAAAATCTTGGCACTTGGTGTATTTATGATTTTGAAACATTCATGAAATTAGAATCTGTAATAAAAGTATATGTATTAGAAGAAGTCTCATATTGGGAACACACTGTCAATATGTAGATTTTCTGCTTTTGGATGTTTTGGGGTTTAAAAATTACAACAAATATAGGAATGTTTCCTCCACATAACACTCCTAATTAACTTCTTATTCTTTTTTTGGGAGTAATATTACATGAAAACTTCATTAAGTTAATAAAAGTAAAATAACCTAAACTTGTTCATCAGCATTTAACCTGAGTAATATAAACAAAGTGACTCAGAGAAAGAAAGAGTAGTAACTTCTTAAACATTCAAATCATCAAACAACTTCTCAATTTCTTCAGGTACAGCTATTGTCATCTTTGATTTCAGACGAAGCCAAAGACAGTGCTACATGCACCTGCATGGGGTCCTCTAATTCCACTGTAGGAAAGCATCCCTGAAGAAATTACTAAGCATTTACTATGTGTCACAGGGAAAGGGACAAAGGGTGCATTTCCTATTCCTCCTTTCCTTCTTCTGCCTATCTTCCTTCTTCTGTGTCCCACAGTCTAGATTTTTCTGTCTCTCTTCCTGGCCATTTTACCTGGAAATTTTTCTAAACTCACGTACTCCTTTCTAAGATTCCAGTATCCCCATCATCACCTCGAACTAGTATTAGTGTCAGTAGCTTCTTCCCATTCCAGTTTATTCCACTGCTGTCACTGTATTAATCTCTCCTCAAACTTGTCTGTGATCAGTCTCTTGCTTCAAAACCTCTTAACTCATCATTGCCTAGAGATTAAAATCGCAACTTCTTGGCATGGCATACAGGATCTTTTATATCACAACTCCAACTTTTCTTGGACACCCAGTCTTTTTTTGTTAGTACTCTATCTCCTTTCTTCACTTCTCATCTTCATATTATATCCAGTAATAATAGTTAACATTTATCGATAGCTTACTATGTGCCAAGTACTTTCTCCATAAATGTTTTTTATTTACAAAGTTAAGTGCCAGGCACTTTTTTAAGCATTTAACATATAATAACTCGGGACACCTGGCTGGCTCAGTTGGTAGAATGTACAACTCTTGACCTCAGAATTGTGAGATGAAGAGCCCACTTTAAAATTAAATAAAGCAGGGCGCCTGGGTGGCTCAGTTGGTTAAGCGACTGCCTTCGGCTCAGGTCATGATCCTGGAGTCCCTGGATCGAGTCCCGCATCAGGCTCCCTGCTCAGCAGGGAGTCTGCTTCTCCCTCTGACCCTCCCCCCCATGTGCTTTCTCTCTCTCTCATTCTCTCTCTCTCTCTCAAAAATAAATAAATAAATAATCTTTTAAAAAAATAAAATTAAATTAAATAAAGCAAAATGCTTTTTTAAAAAAACCCTTGGGGCGCCTGGGTGGCTCAGATGGTTAAGGATCTGCCATTAGCTCAGGTCATGGTCCCGGGGTCCTGGGATCGGGGAGCCTGCTTCTCCCTCTCCTCCTGCTCCCCCTGCTCGTGCTCTCTCGTGCTGTCAAAAAATAAATAAAATCTTTAAAAAATAAAAATAAATAAATAAAAATTAAAAACCCAATAACTCATTCAATCTTCGTAACTACCCTTTGAGATAGGTGTTATCATTATCCCCATTTTACGGTTTATTGACAGAAAGTAGATCAGTGGTTGCTTAGGGTCAGGAGGGATGGATAAAGCAGGATATAACTGCTAAATGGCATAGAGTTTCTTTATGGAGTGACGGAAATTTTTGGAAACAGATAGTGGCGATGGCTGCACAACTTTGTAAATATACTAAAAACCAGTGAACTGTACATGCTAGATTGGTAAATTATTAAATTCATTCATTTACTATTATATATTATTTATTTATTTAAATAGCTCAGCAGAGGAGACAGGCAGACCTTGAAGCAGAATATTTCCTATTTGTTGCTTTAACACAATTGCTGAATTCTTTGAAACATCTTATCTCATAGACACATATTATCAACGCCAAATGATTTGGCCAAGAAATTATGGTACAAAGTTAAGCCAGAAATCAATGTAATCCTTTGAGAGAGCAGAGACAACTAGAAAAATGAAAGCACGTGCAGGAAGAGGATCCTCAGCGAACACTCGCCTCTTCCACAGGAGACCGGTACTTGCAGTCACTGCAGATGCTCCCAGGAAAGCCACCATCACTAGTCGTCGCCTCATCTGGGTGGGCTGTGATCCTCCATGGTAACATCGAGAGCCCACAGCCAGTTCTGCTAGTGCAGAAAGGGAGTTAAGACGAAACATTCTGTGGATAAAAAATAAAAATGTTACTCCTAACTAGTGGTGACAGCAATGAGGATGAAATGATGAAGATGACAGTATCAACGTCACCAACAAACATTACGGACTTACTCAATGGCAGACACTAAACACTTTGCAATATCATATAGTATCCAATTTAATCCTCAGAACAACTGTATGAAAAAACTACTACTTATAAACCTGATATATCAAAGTACAATTAGAAGACAAAAAAACAACATGATAATTTGAACAGGAAAAGTTTAAGTAAAGCATTATTAATTATAACAGGGGTAAAACACTAAGGGTTAAAGAGATAACAGATGTAGGGAGCAGCTACTATTTCAAAGGCTGAGGCAGAACAATAGGAGAGGAATAAATCTGTAAAGGGGCCATTCTCAACAGGGCTGAGATACAGGCCGGTGGTGAGGACACGGCCATGGATATGTGAGAAATTTACTAAAGTGCCAGGTCATCAGAAGTCATCTAGTAGGAGAATTTAACATTCCAGTGGAACTGAGGAAAGTACCCATGGGGAGATGTCAGAGTATAGAACTCCCTGGGAAACTGCATTTGGGAGTACTGCTGCTGAAACTACCTACGGCTTGAGAGCCCCAGGGTGTCCCAAATTCTAATGACCACTGTGTTCTACAGCGCATACAAGAATCAGGAAGAAAAACTTCTTCTTTCTCTAGTCTCCCTCTAGCCCTTCTACTGACAAACCTTAAAAAAAGGTGGCAAGAGAGAAATTTCCAGTATCACAAAAAGGACAATGAAGGAGGAATTTAGAATTGCAAAGCAACAGATTTATAAATGGCACAACCATTTTGAAGATGTGGGAACTGAGATACAGTGACTTGCTCTAGAGTATGCGGCCAGAAGAAGATCCAGAATCTAAAATAAATGGACTAACATGAGAACCCAGGTTCTGGACAGGTTCTAGGACACTTTGCTGCCCCCCTACCTTGTGATGATACTGTTTTTGTTAAAGTAATTTAAGTTTTAATTAAGTAATTTAAGTTTTAATTAAATCTTTTTCATTTCATTAATTAAATCTTGGAAGGCCTCCTACCCACTAAATTCTTTAGTTTCATACTTATAACCTCACCTGTTCCTCTCATTGTTTAACTCAGAAATATCTGTATTAGGTCATATTATTGTTCAAAAAACATTCACTCTCCCATCCCCCATCCCATAGGCAAATACAATTTTCCACACTCTTTATTTTGGATATTGCCATTAACCTTGCTTTGACCAAAAGAATGTGGCCAGTTCCACAAAGCACTTTTAAGAAGTATTGCTGTTAGCTTTCTTGTGCTCCTACACTCTATGAAGAGAAGATCATGCCCAGGATAGACATGATCCTTCAACCTGGGTTCAAAAACGAGCATATCTCAGGCTGGAGCCAGGCACTGTGAAGATCAGCTGAGCCAGCTGAGCACAACCAACCTACAGAATGCTAGTGAGAAATAAATGTTTATGATTATAAGCCACTAAAATCGGGGTTTGTTTACTGCCACAGCAAAAGCTAACTAATTCAGCATATAAGAGAATTACTGAGAAGTTCTCATTCAACAAAAATGTTTTGTTTTTAAAGATTTTATTTATTTATTTGACAAAGAGAGAGACAGCTAGAGAGGGAACACAAGCAAGGGGAGTGGGAGAGGGAGAAGCAGGCTTCCCGCTGAGCAGGGAGCCCAATGCGAGGCTCGATCATGACCTGAGCTGAAGGCAGATGCTTAACGACTGAGCCACCCAGGTGCCCTTCAACAAAAATGTTTTAAGTTCATACTATTCAGCCCTATGTAATACCTAAAGAGCCAAAAAGAATTTTACATTCTAATTAGCCAAGATACACATGAAACATTTTCAAATGATACGTTTCTAAGCTGGTATCTTGAAGAAGTATAAAAATATTAGGGTACAGATATTAGAGAATTAAAAAAAATTTTAAACACCAGGGCTAGATTAGTCAGCAAAGGCTTTTGTTTAGTTCTGAGACTCAGAATGGTATAAAATTTTGATCAAGTCAAAGAAATTTCATGGACAACCCAAAAGACAGGATCAGTTCTGGCACCTCTATACAGAGAATTGAGAGAAAATGATTTTTTCCTCTAGACAGTATCTTGAGGCCAGAGTATAGTCTTCATTCTTTTATTCCAACAGGCAGACTGAAAGAGAAAGGGGCATTTCCTCCTGGTTATACGACTTTTTATAGTGGCAATTCATTCAAATCACATAAAGTATTCATTCTCCTCCCCTCTGATTGTCTCCAAGCACAGTACACTGCTTCCTAATTTAAATTATCTTGGAATTTATACATATCTTCCTATGGCAATTAATACATTTGTTCATATGTAAGTTTGCCTTCCCTACTTGGCTCTCACTAAAATTATTTTTTTCCTCATCATAAACATACGGTCTAGTATGGGGCCCGTTACATTATAGGTATCTAAAATATTTAACTATGTAATGTACTTTCACATGAAGGTAAAGGTACAAATCACACAGGTACTAGCTCCTAACATTTAAGTATACTTCTAAGACCCAATATACTAAGAAAAGTATGTTTTTTACCACTTGGGTTCAAATCAAGTTAGATTACTTAGCTGTCTCTTAAGATCATGGAGCCAGTTACTAACTCTTCTCTGGGACCTATACCTATAATCTCTTTTTTTTTTTAAAGATTTTATTTATTTGAGAGAGAGACTGAGAGAGAGAGAGAGCACATGAGAGGGGGGAGGGTCAGAGGGAGAAGCAGACTCCCTGCTGAGCAGGGAGCCCGATGCGGGACTTGATCCGGGGACTCCAGGATCATGACCTGAGCCGAAGGCAGTCGCTTAACCAACTGAGCCACCCAGGCACCCTATACCTATAATCTCTTAAATAAACCTTTCCCCTAGCCTTCTTCATTCAACCTAGGCCCAATTTCAAAGTTGGAGCTAAATCCTGCTCTTATGGACAAAGTGGGAAAAGAATTATTTTTCTCTCCTACTTCCTATGACCTAAGCTGCAGCAACACAATTCTTACACCCTTCCCCAACCGCAGAAATCACTCATTTTACTGCACATATTCTACCAAAATACAGCATCAAGGAGAATGTCCACTATATTTTCTTCCTGCCTATCAACAACTGATCCACTTTTTTTTTTTTTAAGATTTTTATTTATTTGACAGAGAGAAACACAGTGAGAGAGGGAACACAAGCAGGGGGAGTGGAAAAGGGAGAAGCAGGTTTCCCATGGAGCAGGGAGCCCGATGCTGGGCTCGATCCTAGGACCCTGGGATCATGACCTGAGCCAAAGGCAGACCCCTAATGACTGAGCCACCCACGCACCCCCTGATTCACTTTTTAAAATAACATTTTCCAGGGGTGCCTGGGTGGCTCAGTCGTTAAGCATCTGCCTTCAGCTTAGGTCATGGTCCCAGGGTCCTGGGATCAAGCTCCACATCGGGCTCCCTGACAGGCGGGAAGCCTGCTTCTCCCTCTCCCACCCCCATGCTTGTATTCTGTGTCTCGCTGTGTCTCTCTCTGTCAAATAAATAAATATCTTTAAAAATAAATAAATAAAAATAAAATAACATTTTCCAAACCCACAGTGCATTCAGATACATAGCATTGCTTTTGTCTATCATAAAAATGAATACTCTGGTTTCTCTTCAGATCAAATAAATCTTTCTCCTTATAATAAAAATGAGTACAACTAAAACATGTATCTGGAGGGACGCCTGGGTGGCTCAGTCAGTTAAGCAGCTGCTTTCAGCTCGGGTCATGATCCCAGCGTCCTGGGATGGAGTCCCGCATCGGGCTCCCTGCTCAGCAGGGAGTCTGCTTCTCCCTGTGCCTCTGCCCCTCCCCCTGCTTGTACTCTCACTCTCTCTAGCAAATAAATAAATAAAATCTTTTTTAAAAAAATAAATAAAAAATAAAACATGTATCCGGAGAAAACATTATTCATCACTGACAACAGAAAGAAAAGAGCACTCAGAAATTTTCAGTGTGAAAGGCAAATAACATAACCAGTTCAAAAGTTGGAACAGGCAAGGAGTGTGTAAGACTGTAAGATAAATTCACAATTAATCAGATATTCTCCATAAATACACATATGTCCAAATAATAGACATCTCATAAATAGGCATATGTTCACCAATGTAATAAACCCATTTTTCAGTAAAAAGTATAAACACACCTATGATCTAACAGGTAAACTATAATCACTTGAGAAGGTCATCTGAATTCTGGACTGAGGATTCTGGTCATGTGTACAACAGGAAACTAGTACATGGAAAAGAACGTGATTAAAGTATTTTCTGGAAGAATGCCTACTTACCAGTAGTGAATAGAATAAATTGCAAAGAACAAAGGCAGAGAGAGCTAATGGCAGTAGTGAGTACAGCCAGAAGGCAATTAATAACCTAAAATATTGGGTGATAAGTGCCTACACGATAAATACAGAAACCAGAAATAAAATAAAATATCCAAAGAGACAAAACCATCAGATATCACTGTCCAACACACATCAATATGTAAGTGTGAAGGAGATATGGAAGAAAGGAGAAAGAGATTAAAACAATAACAACACTAAGTAGCAGATGGTAGAAAGTGAAATGAAATAGGAAGCCAATGACCAATGACCTAATCTCAACTCTAGTACTAAACAGCGGTGCACAAAGGAAGCTTACTCTTTCTTAAGGAAGAATCTGATAAAATGAGAATTGCCTAATTGAGCTTTAGGGTTTTTTTTTTTTAAATCTTTTATTTATTTATCCATGAGAGTCAGAGAGAGAGAGAGAGAGAGAGAGAGAGAGAGAGGCAGAGGGAGAAGCAGGCTCCCCGCAGAGCAGGGAGCCCAATGCGGGAGTCGATCCCAGGACCCTGGGATCATGACCTGAGCCGAAGGCAGTCACTTAACCAACTGAGCCACCCAGGCGCCCCCATAAAATATTATTAAATTATTTCATAAACCAACAGAAACTTGGCTAAAGAAATTAAAAAACAGTTGGAAAAAGAAGTAAAAATGGCTCTGAGAACTATGAAAAGATACTTAATCTCATTAATAATAAGAGAATGCATATTAAAACTCTACTGAGATACTGCTTTTCACTCATCAAGCTGGCAAAAAATCCAAAAGTTTGGGATGCCTGGGTGGCTCAGTTGGTTAAGCAACTGCCTTCGGCTCAGGTCATGATCCTGGAGTCCCGGGATCGAATCCCACATCGGGCTCCCTGCTCAGCAGGGAGTCTGCTTCTCCCTCTGACCCTCTTCCCTCTCATGCTCTCTATCTCTCATTCTCTCTCTCAAATAAATAAATAAAATCTTAAAAAAAAAAAATCCAAAAGTTTGAAAACACACTTACTGGCAATACT